ATGATTATATTGAGATTAAAGTGAGTGTTTTTAGGGCTGTATTGAGTAGATTAGAGTGTACTTATGTTAAGTAATCGAATCATTCGATTCTAGGCTAAATAGGGTGAGAAAACGAGCAAAGAATTTCGTTGGATTTTCTGGGTTGGGGCCTGGCGTGATACGCCAGCCAGAGCACCCCAAACCCTCCTTTGAAGTTTAGGGGCTGGCGCCCCGCGCCACCCATAGCGCCAGGGTCGCCTGCCCCATCCAGTTTGTCGTCGGTTGCCCCGTTTGAGTTCGTTTAAAGTGCACCTTCACTCCTTTTCGATTCTAACTACTCTAAGTTACTTCTAAACACCTAAAATCATTCCTAACATGATCATAACCTTGAATTCATAATTCAAATTCAAGGTAGAGTTGAGAGTTAAGTTTTGAGAATTCTTTTGAACATTCTAAGAAAGTCCCTTTGAGTCATTTTGTTGAGTCTTCTACAACTTCTAGTAACTTGTTTCAAGACTCGAGCAAGTGAGTGTGAGGATGAGGAGAATGTACTCATGAGTCTACTTTGTCATCATGAGATCTTTCATAACGTGAACCATAACTCTTGAATTCGTATTTCACATTCAAGAGAGAGTTAAAAGTAGAGTTCAAGAAAGCCATTGAGTTCAATTGTGAATCCTTTGAGATCAACCATCGATTTGAACTAAGTCTTGAGGTAGTAAGTAAGCGAATGAGAAGTGTCGTATACATGAGCTCTATGTAGTTTGTAGACCATCGAGTCAAGTCGTTCATGCCCATAAATTCCGCACGAACTCCATAAGTTGAGTATCTATGAGAGGAGTAATATCTCCATGTCCTAAGTCTTAAGTATTGAGTTTCTAACCCATTTGAGATTATAATCCTAATCATGGAACTATTACCTATTACCCATAAAGTCCATGAGTTGAGTTGTTCATGCCCATAATTCCGCATGAACATTATAAGTCGAACAATCTTGAGATGAGAAGTGTCTTTGAGTCCTTGAGTTGAGTAGTTCATGCTCATAAATTCCGCATGAACCCTCTGAGTTAAGCATTCTTGAAATTAGCAGTATCATTGAAGTTCTTGAGTTCCAAGTATTCAGATCTATCTATGGTTATTGAAAACCTTGCATTGAGTCGTTCACGCCCATAATTTGGCATGAACCATATTTTAAGAAGTCCTTTACAAATGTTTTAACTTTGTTTTAAGACTTAAGTTTTGAGTTCAGTAAAGAGTAAAAGTTGAAGTTCATTTCTTCAAAAGTAAATGGGGACTATGTATTCCCAAAAGAGTTTAAAATGTTTTCACATTTAAATAAGAACGGAAAACTGAGATTTTCGAAAGAGCCTTTGAGCTAGTTTTTCAGTAAAGAGCCTTTTTGCTAATTTTCAGTTAAAGAGCAAATGCTTTCACAATAAAGCAAGAAAGGAAACTGAGATTTCTAAGATAGCCTTTGAGCTAAGTTTTGAGCACTAATCTCAAATCACAGAAGAAGTACGTTTTATTTTTAAAACATAAGAGCTAGTATATTTTGGGAGTAGTATTGAGCACCGATATGAGGGAGAGTTCAGGCAAATCGCAGCCCCCATAAACCATGTAGCCACCATGGGTAGAAAAATGTCATACTTTTTAGATGAACCCTTTTCACAATAGACTAGTGGATCCACTTAGTAGTTCAGGTCCTATACCTCTGGCCGGGTATAGGATGCGCTGGCAGCAAGAGGTAGATCGTTGTATCATCACTATAGCT